TTGCTTTTTGAAGACCTGCCCTTAGTTGGGAGGGGTGCCATTACCTGCAAATTGAAACAAGGTATTTAAAGAATGCAGTTGATTCTTTTGCATATGTATTTTGCAAAAATATATTTTTGGCAGCATAAAAAATAAGTGAAACTCATACCAATATATTACACTAGCATATATTTCGTAAATTTATGTAGCGTGAAAAACCTTTCGGCAGTAAGCTAGGAATTAAATGTTTGTAGAACAGAGATCAAATCTTGCAATAAACATCCATGAATCAATATTTAAAAAATAATAATCACCAAAATTTTCAAATGGTAAAAAAAAGTGCAGGTGGAAATCAATTTCTCTCATGATAAAAACAATATTAATTGGTAATTGAAATTATGCTATTTGAATGAACAAACGAACTCTAAGAAAATGGAGGAATTCTCCTTATACTTTATTCATCACTCGTGCGTACATATATAATACATCAATGAGAAGGATGCAAATGATAGTAAAGAGAGAAATGCATTATTGCATGTGTCATGCATTACGTAGATGAATAGTATGACTATGTGGGATGGGCCTCCTAATAAAGAAGTGATGTAAATAAATATTATATGTACAACAAGTAGTGCCGTAGGATCTTTAATAAATCTCAATATCTCATGAAATCAAGATTTAATTATTGTGTATCAAATTGGGTTGCAGTTCAATTCATGTTTGAAGCAGATATCTGGCAAATTGATTGAAAATGACGTAACAAATTATTCATAAGATAAATAACATGAAATCATAAAATTCTGAAGAATAAACAAATAACAACAATTCAATCATTCAACAAACAACTCAACCAATCAAAGTAATTGGCATTTAAACAAACCAGAAAATTCATCCTACATTTGGTATCAGAGCCTGTGTTAGATCCATCCTCTATACACGAAAGAAAACCAAGAAAAACACCTAAATATGCAAAGCTCAGCAAATGGAAACTCAGTTAATCAATTGCCCTTGTTTAAGGGAATTAATTATCACTTTTGGAGCCTGAAAATGAAGACCCTCTTCAAGTCACAAGAACTATGGAGTACGGTGGAGGAAGGGTTTGTTGATGGTCAGCCTGAGGTGCCTGATCAAGCCCTTCGAGAGAAAAGGAAGAAAGATGCAAAGGCCCTTTTTCTCATTCAACAAGCTCTAGATGATGATGATGTTTTTCCACGCATTGCTGCAGTTTCTACTTCAAAGGAAGCATGGAGTATTCTCAAGCAAGAATATCTTGGAGATAAAAAGGTGATCATGGTCAGGTTGCAGTCCCTAAGGAGGGAAATGGAGAACACACGCATGAAGGATAAAGAGTCAATTCAGGACTATCTATCAAGGATTACATCCTTGGTTCAGCAAATGAAGTCTTATGGAGAGGAGATCAAACCTCAGCAAGTGGTAAGTAAGGTAATGAGAAGCCTTACCCCTAAATTTAGCCAGCTTGTGTGTGCTATTGAAGAGGCAAAAGATCTGGAGACTTACACCTTTGAAGAACTCAAGGGATCTCTTCAAGCTTATGAAGAAAGAAACATTGGTGAGGCTGAAAAGGGTGAAGAACAAGACTTTCAGGCCCAAAATGATGCACCTAATGGTCAAGCCTTTCAGTTCCCAAGCAGGGAAGAGGAAGAGGAAGAGGAGGTTTTAGAGGTGGTCATGGTGGAAGAGGCAGAGGAAGAGGATCCTCTAGCTATGGAGGAAGACAATCCAGTCCAAAACCTCCCATTAAGTGTTACTATTGTAACAAGAATGGGCATAAAGAAGCTGAATGTTGAAGAAAGAATCCAGACCTGGCTCCAAGAACTGCATATCATAGGTCTAATTATGCTGAGCAAGTACAGCTGTTTATTGCTCATCATAATTCAGATCATGTTGGAGGTATAGTGTGGTACATTGATAGCGGTTGCTCAAATCACATGATAGGATCCAAAAGTATGTTTCAGCATATTGATGACACTAAGAAGGGTGTTGTCAGATTAAGAGATGGTAAGCAGCTTGAAGTAGCAGGTTTGGGAGTAATCTCAGTGCAGACAGAACAAGGAAGGAGGAAATCTTTGTCCAATGTACAATATGTCCCACACCTTGCTCATAATCTGCTTAGTGTCGGGCAACTAGTGTCAGGAGGCTATTCAGTCTCCTTTGCGGATGGAGTATGCATAATCAAGGATGGCAACACAAATGAAGTCTTGCTAAAGGCTAAAATGGGAAGGAACAAATTGTTTCCCATGGATCTGACCTCAACTTATGGAAAAGCTTTGGTGGTCAAGGGAGAAGAAAATGCCAAACTGTGGCATCTAAGGTATGGTCATCTTAACATTACTAATCTGCAATTACTGAGTGCTAGAGGTTTTGTTAGAGGCCTACCTATTATTGGCAAGCTGGAACTATGTGAAGGATGTATATATGGGAAGCAATCTAGAGGCTCTTTCCCCAGGAGGTTCATGGAGAGCTAGTGACTGCCTAGAACTGCTCCATGCTGATCTTTGTGGTCCAATGGAAACTGAGTCATTAGGAGGTAGCATGTATTTTCTAATGATTACTGGTGATTTTACTAGAATGTCTTGGGTCTATTTCCCAAAGACCAAGTCTGAAGCACTTGAAAACTTTAAGAAGTTTAAAGGCTTAGTTGAGAATCAGACTGGGAAATCAGTTAAAGCACTTATAACTGATAGAGGTGGTGAATTCAGTTCCAATGCTTTTACTCCATTCTGTGATGAGAATGGTATAAGAAGAGAATTTACAGCACCCTACAGCCCTGAGCAAAATGGGGTAGCTGAGAGGAAGAATAGGACAGTTGTAGAGATGGCAAGGAGTATGCTCAAAGCAAAAAATATGCCAACCAAGTTCTGGGGTGAAGCTGTATCCACAGCTGTATACATTCTTAATGTTTGTCCAACTAAAGCAGTCCTAAATTGTACACCATTTGAAGCTTGGAGAAAGAAAACACCCTCAGTAGGTCATATGAGAGTGTTTGGATGTAGGTCATCTCAATTTGCTATGAAGGATTTAGGGGATATACATTTTTTCTTAGGTCTTCAGACTCGGCGAACTGCTAAAGGTTTATTTATTTCTCAGCATAAATATATCTCTGATTTATTGCGTCGTTTTCATCTTCATACTGCCAAACCTGTTCGTACTCCGCTGCCATCACGCACCACTCTTTCTCTGACAGATGGAGAACTACTCACTGATGCTACTGAGTATCGTAGTATGGTAGGTGCATTACAGTATTTGGTTTTAACTAGACCTGATATTACTTATGCTGTGCACTTGGTTTCTCAATTTATGCATGCCCCACGTACTACTCATCTTTTGGCCGTGAAGCGTATTTACAGATATTTGCAGGGCACTGTGGATCATGGATTATGGCTTTAGTCCAATCCTGATATCTCTCTTATTGTTGCTTATTCTGATGCAGATTGGGCTGGTTGTCCAGATAGTAGTCGATCTACGACAGGGTAAGCCATATTTTTGGGAAGCAATTTAATCTCTTGGAGGTCCAAGAAACAGCCCACTATATCCAAGTCATCAACTGAAGCTGAATACCGTGCCATTGCTTACACAGTCCAGGACACCATCTTCATTCGCTCTCTACTTGCTGATATGGGCATTACTATATATCTCACACCCGGTCAAACTACGCTGCGATAATGTGTCTGCATCGTATCTTGCAGTTAATCCCATTCAGCATGACCGCATCAAGCACATCAAGATTGATTACCATTTTGTTAGAGAACGTGTTGCTCATGGAGATCTTGTCGTCAAATATGTCCCTACTCCATTACAGTTAGCTGATATTTTTACTAAAAACTTATCTAGTCAGTGTTTTAAGTTCTTACGTGCCAATCTGCGCGTTGTTTCTCCTGCACAGATTGAGGGGGTGTAATAATGTATAGTACATGACACATTTGTAATTAACTATTCTTCTCCTGTTATAAATACATCATCAGGACACCCTATGAGGGTGAGCCATTATTCCACAATTATTATTTCATATCATATGCTAGGATTCCTAGGCAATAGCAATATACGGAGTATTAAATTGAGAAGGCTTGGATTCATAAATTTAATATCTTTATTCTTTATATTTTTTGTTGTACAAGGATATGCTTTTTGTTAAATTCTCACACCGGAAATTTGTGAAAGAATAAAATGCTATATTAAGACATGTGTTACTCCTCCTATCAGGTTGACCTTTTAGGATGGAACCTCGTGTCTTTACAACTTTATATTTTTTTATGTTAAGCATAACAAAGGCAATCGAAGACGCGGAGTATTTTATAGTCAAGTAATGTACCGTATAAGAATTCAAATGGGGATTTTTGGTGCAGTAAGATAGAAGGCGTTCGGTTAATAAGATGTACAGAAGTCAGAACGAATTTCATCCAAAATGAGATGGGCAAGTGATCTAGGAAACATAAAGCCCTTTCACATTGAGAATGTGATGGTGTTTTTACTAAACCCGGTCATTTCATCGCGGGTTCCTACACACGAAATTTGAAATAAGTGTTCAAACAATTTATTCTGCACCATTATGGTGTTATCACTTCTCACAGAAGAAATTGTGCCAATAAATTGTCACTTAATCATTTCTATGAAAAATATAAACATATGGTAAACTTTACATTTATCGATCCATAAATAAACTCAAACAGGTTGGAAAAATCATCCACAATTGTTAAGAAACTCCTAGCACCACAAGGAGTACGGTAGGTTCCTCAAGCTTCACAATGAATAAGTTCAAATAGGCGAGTGGTTTTATTAGTACTGGTAAGAAATGGAGCTCTATATTTTTGGCTTTATGACAAATTTCACAAGGTAAAGACAAATGTTTTTTAGGGAATTTCATGGGCAATAACAATTACATAATTTTTTCTGAGGGATGACCTAAACGTTGATGTCAGATACCCACAAATAAATTTGAGTCACTTATTTTTGAATTTATATTGTTATATTTTGAGAACTCATTTGTTCGGTAAACTATTATTGTTGTAACAAATTTGATGTAATCACAATACCTTTCGGAACAGATAAAGTAAACAGACATGTATGTTTATCACTTGGTATAGATAGAAGGGTAAAGTGGTAACTTAATATCATTCACGCTATACATTGAGCACCCATAATAAAAAAAAATGTTATCCTAATGTTACTTAATTTAGATTTTAGACAAACATCTTAATACAAATAGATTTCTTAATCCCAGTGGCGTCTTTGAGGCCAGTTTGGCCTCCAAAAACTAAATTATTAGTATCATGTGTAAAAAGTATATATAACACGGAATAAGAAAATAGTCTTCATGGTCCACGTATGCACCCAGACGCTGAGGAACTTGTAAAGCTGCAATTCGGCCATTCACAAATCACAATTGTGAGTTCCTATATAGTACACCCGGGTGTACGTACATCCGGCCCAATTATTGGGTTTGACTAGTGGGCTGACTCAATTATTGAGTTTGACTGGGGGCTGACATTTTCTCCCAGATCAGGATCTCCATTACTAAGCCGTTGATTTTCCAAGCGAATCGCGACCATAGGACACAAATTTTACTGGAGCGACTTTCTTCCCATGCCTCCTTTCCATTTGCGATTTTCTTCCCAGCCGGAGTATTCTGTATGCGTTTCCTACATTTGTATGTGTTTTCTACATTTCCATCATGGCATAAATAATTTGTTTAAAAAAATTAGATTTTTTTGTGTAGTCTATACAAATTGTCGGTAAACCAAAGAATTGTACAAAGCATTTAAATATATTCATTATTGCAATAGTGTAATGTAATTAAATTATTTAAATTAGACTCCAGATTAAATTAGGCTCGTATACTCAACGTTATAGGTTTGATGCTCATTAAAACTTATTGATCGCTAAATGAGCAATAGGGTACTTTTAATGAGCATCTGACCTATTGTATTGAGTAATATGAGGCTAACAATGAGTATAACGATATCAGCTTCATATCTTCTAATTATTTTTCTTTTTTAATATTTTTTTACAAAAACTTATTAAATTATATCTATAATTCACTCATATTAATTTGAATATGCTAGTTTAATGTAATATGATACTTTTGAAATATACATGGATATGGCATTTTCAAAATGAGCATAACATCAGAACCAAATGAGCATACATAACTTACAAAGTATACATTGATATGAAAATTGTAAGGTTTGGTAGTTGAACATCACAACATTTTAATTGAGCATCAAACCTCCGGCATTGAGATGAAAATCACGATTTCTAGTGAATGAGTATTAATGAACTGTTAATGAGCATCAGACCTATTATGTTGAGTATTAAGAGTCTAATATTCAGAATCGTGATCTCTGTTTCATAACTTCTAAGTCACTTTCTTTTTATTATTTTTTCTTTTATAAAAACTTATTAAATTATATTTATAATCAACTGCTATGAGTTTTAATATGTGAACCTAATGCAAAATAGAACAATACTTTTAAAAAATACATTGATATGACCTTTAGAAAAATGAGTATAAGATGAGTATGAGATGAGCATAGTAACTTACAAAATGCGCATTGATATGAAGATCGTAAGATATGTTAGTTGAATATCACGACATTTTCATTGAGCATCAAACATCCTCTATTGAGATGAAATTGACGGTTTCTATTAAATGAGCATTAATTAACTTTTACTGAATATTAGACCAATTCTGTTGAGTATTAGGAGTCTGATATTGAGCATCGAGATCTCTGCTTCATATCTTATATTCATTTTCTTTTTCTTATTTTTTCTTTTATAAAAATTATTAAATTATATCTATAATCAACTCTTATGAAACTTCAATATGTGAATATAATGTAATATAGTACTTTAGAAATATGCATTGATACGACATTTTAAAAATGAGCATACGTGAGTATAAATTGAGCATATGTAACTTACAAAATGAGCATCAATATGAAAATTATAAGTTTTTTTCAATTGAGCATCAAGACATTTTCATTGAGCATCAAATCTCTTCTATTGAATATTAGAAACATGCAATAGAGTATCAAGGTATGTGTTCGATCTAGTATCTATAATCAACTCTTACGTGAATCTTACGTAATACGATACTTTTATAGTATGCATTGATATAGCATTTTAAAATGAGCATAGATCCAGTACCAAATGAGCATACAAAACGTACCAAATGAGCAATAATATTGATAGAGTACCAAATACTCTATCAAATATGAAAATCATAAGATTTGTTAGTTGAGCATCAAAACATTTTCATTGAACATCAAACCTCTTCTATCGAGTATCAGAAACACAGAAACATGCAATTTAGTATCATGGTCTATGCCCCCATGTGAATTTAATATAAAGTTTTTGAAATATGCATTAATATGACATTTTAAAATGAGCATAAAACCAGTACCAGATGAACACACGTAACTTACAAAATGAACATAAAAAAATTCAAAAGCTCGTTTGAATTCTCTAATGTGTTTAAATGTTCATTTTTGCACATGTATCATTTCTCATTTTAGTACGGAGCATAACAAAAAACTCATATTAGTAATTAATACACAATATTTAATAAATTAAAAAATATTCATCTTAAATTAAAAATAGAAAAATAAAAAATAATACCTAAAATGTTTATAATATACATAAATAAAAAAAAAACTTTATTTAGACGTTTGATTGGAAAAGGAAAACAAAACTAAGACATTAAATGATATATTTATAATATTTTATATTATACTACGTATTGAATATAAAATGAAAGTGGAAGGTATTTTTTTTAAAGTAATGAAAGTGGAAGGTTGCTAATGAAAACCAACCAGAAAAGAAAGGAGAAAAAGCAATAAAAAAAAAACAAAAACATACGAAGCAAACAATAAAAACAAAAAATAAACTGAAAACAAATGAGAATATACGATCATAGCAACACTAAGCACGGGAGGTGGGACTTGGGACTTGGGAGGAGTCTGCAGCGGAGCGGATAAAATAGAATGCCGGCCGTACCATATGCCTTCACTTTAAAACAATTACAAAAAAAACCAGATGTAGGTACACCCGGGTGTACCTTATAATTTGCCCACAATTGTAGCAATTCTGAAATTGAAAAGTCCTAACTGGTCACTCGACCTGTGTGACTCTAATTCTCTCATCTTTGACTTCTCTCCTCTTAATCTATTACTACGTATTATTTTTTGTGATTGGATTGAATGTCTTTAGATTTTATTCAATAAAATACACAAATAGAATGAGGGCCTAAAATACAGGGTTGAAGAATACAAAATACATAATGCTAGATATTAGATAAGGGTCATAAAGTTTCGAGATTCGAGAATGCCATGCATCGTGATAAGTGATTGAATTCAACACCCTGGCTTTTCATTTCTTTGGGCTTGGGTATATTTCAAAATTTTAGATACAAGTGATTGAAGTGAACGTGTAAAATTATGGGTTAATATTGGTATATTGGTATTTTTTGAATTGAATGATAACTCAATAAAACAACTTGTACAAAGTGTGTCATGCATGAAAACTAAGAAAGTGAGTATTCTATGATGGAGAGTTGTACAAAATAAAGAGATAGAAATGTGTAAGAAAGTGTTCAAAAATGTTGCGAACTACAAATTCTTTGCCAAAAAAAAAGGGTGTTATGTTGGGGCAATATCAATTTTTTTAAGATCATTCATGGAGGGATGAAGTAGTTATTTTTTAAATTTTCTCGTTTTATTTAAAACTATTAGTTTTTTATGTTAATCGATTTGTGTGCGATTTTTTAGTATCTATAAATACATGTACGCATATCATTCTTAAATATGATTTGTGCATAGTAAATAATTTTCTACCTAGGGCCTCTAATATGCTAAAGACGCCCCTGCTTAATCTATACAGGACTTGATGAAAATAAAAGTAAACTGCCCCTCAATCTAATTGTTGAAGAGCCTCTTTCCTTGTAGCTTAACTTAAATCGTCTCTTGGACGGAGAGGCATTTCCTTATCTTTTCCTTTGGAACTTTTTCTCTTGTAGTTTCATGCATCACCTCTTTAGCCACTTTTTGGATTAGAAGTTTTATTTAAACAACTCAAACTTTTTAAGCCTCAAGCTAAGTGCATATCCAAAATTGCCCTTTATGCTAAAACAAGTTAGAACATGATTGTTTATCATGCCTTAAATTTAATTAGTCCAAATAATACATTATGAAACAATTGAGTGGCCACATCCATTCTTGAATTCTATTTAGAGAAATGATATTTACCCACATTTAAACATTTTATTGTGTATGCTTAGCCAGAAAATAGTGATGACAATAACTATAATGATATAATTGTAACATTTACATGTTTACAAAATTTTGTCTGACCCCAACTTTTAAAATTATCATAGTATTTACATCACAACACTTTTTGGACAATGCTAAGCCTAAATTACACTGATCCAGATCAGAGAGCTTAGGCAGGAGAGGTGGAGGTGAAGCCAAGCTTATTAGTTCGAGTTAATGGAGAAAAAAGTTGCATTTGATTATGAACAAATTGCACATCATGAATCAATGGGTTATCTGTCCGGCCGGGTGGTGAGCCGGAGTAACACGATGATGATGAGCATCGACTACACAACGTTGTTGAATCTGTGACATCTCTTATCTACACCATTTCAACAAGTTCATATGAGCAACCACACATAATAACATTATAAGTCACACTTAATTATCTAAACTCTTTGGCACTCTGGTATGTGATGGGTCTCACATCCTCAACGGTGGGACCCGTGGTTATTTGACGGCTTGACATCTGAATATCTGATTTAGAGCATCTCCGATGTCAAGATGCACACGTAGTGTATACGTGATGAGATACACACATCGAATTTCATAAATGAAATTTCTCTCTGTTTATTTTCATGGTTTTCTATATTTTTTTGTTGCTTTTTGTAAACAATATCAACACAACAATGTTTATATTTAGTTGGTGTGCATGATAATCTCAAGAAAAACATATTGAAAAGCAGTGGCGGATCCAGGAAAAATTGTTATTGGGGGCACCGAGACAAAAAAGGTACAAATATAATTCAAATACACACCAAATCTAGAACATTTAATACCCCACTATTTTACATAATACTTGTAGGAATTATTAGAGTTACCTACATTTGCTTAGTGCAAGTTTTTTTATTTATCAAAATTGATATTTCAATATACACAGAATTTTATTTTATTAATTTAATATATATCCCAACATATGGTAATTTGTTTTCAATCACGTAATTCTCCCTTTATCCCAAATTAAATTAATTGTCTTGGTTTTAGTTTATAAATTTACAAATAAGGTTTTTTAAAAAGTAAACTGAAAATGTGGTTGAGTTTTGGATATAAAAAAGTGAAATGGCATGTACAACATATTTTTTGCAAATAATTAAAAAGAAGCAAGACAATGACTTCAAAAACAACACAAAAAAGAAAACAAAATAGTGACTAGGCCGGGGCTGGGGGTTACAAAGTAAATGCGGAGATGATAATCAATCGTTACCTAATTTAAAAAACATACAACAAAAAATATGTGAAATACGTAAAGCAAAACACTTTTTTTGAGGATTAAGCAAAACACTTAAAAAGGTGTAAGATTAGTTAAGAGAAGCCTAGCAAAAAATAGAGAAACATTAATTGAAAACCAGGTTG